ATATGGAAACAGCTTTATGATATGGAAATTTATCTCTCAAGCTTTTGTATTAAAAATAAAGTTTCTGGTGCATCTGATCCTCAAAATTTTGCCCAAGAAAACCTGCATAATTACATCCGTATTACAGATGACACAAGATAGGAAACCCACATAGACTCCTGGGTCTGGGTAGTAAAAGAAGGAGGAATCTTTTTGCCACATTGTGTCTCACACATAGCAGGAGCATAATTAATAGTTACTGATTGACTAGATAAATTAAAATAAATTAATGAGCATGCTATTCATCCTACGTACAAGAGATCTAGAGATTACCTAGAGCAACAAGCCGAAAATGTTGAATGATCTTTTAGGATTTGTAGAGGTGATTTCATGGCAGAAATAACCTTAAGGGGAAAGGCTTTGGATCACCAGTCCCTCATGGTCTTTCCCAGGCCAGCAGCTGACATTGCACCCAGATCTCTGTGAGGGCTTCACATCATATAAGTGAGTCAAGAGAGACAGGAATAATACCTTGTGAACTTTGATTTGTCAGGAGATGACAAATTAGGAGCACCATTGTTTTTGCAAGATATATCTTGTTGTTCCTAGAAAAAAAAAATGCATTTTTCTAAGAAAAGTACTCACAGGCATGCAAAAAATTACTTTCTAAATCTCCTGCCATCTTAAGATCATATATATATATGATCATATATATATATGGAAATATATATATGGAAATATATATATATATATATATATATATATAATTTATATATATATATAATATTATAAGAACAGTAATTTTTATAAGCTTTCCATATTATACATCACAAACACTAGTATTTTAATGTCTAAAATAATACTTTTTTATATAATATAGGATAAAGAGCAAAACATAAAATGACACCCACCTCTATCCTCTGGAGGGTTTGCTTTATTTATTCATGTAACAATATTTGTTAATTTAGAAACTGGTGATGCTGCAAAAAAGGTACTGGCCCTCAAAGAAACTACATTATAATAGAAGTAGATAAATAGTAAGATAATCTTAAATGATAACAAGAGCTACATGGGACATAATTTAACATATGTGTAATAATAGAGACTTTAAGGAAGGAGTGATCTTTGAAAGAGTGATTAGGGACTGTGTTTTCAAGAAGATCATATGTGAGCTGAGGAATACATTTTATTTTATTTTATTTATTGAGTTTTAAAATTTATTTTTTATAGGTAGATATAATTTTATTTTAGTCTTTCAAAGATTTGAGACAGAAGGAATACATTTTAATTAGAAGTTTCCTACTTAGCTATTTGGGAAAAAGCATTCAGCAGGCAGAGGAAACAAATAAGTATAAAGGCTCTAAGATGCAGATGAGCTTGCAATGTCTGATGAGCTATAAATAAAGGACATTGTGACAAGCAGGTCCTTAGTAAGGGGTTTGCATTTTACTACCATGTGGCAAAGCAAGTGGAAAAAGTGATTTGGTGCAGGGTCAAGGCAGGGCAAAAACAAGACTGACCTTAGCAGGGAGTAGGTTGTAAGGTCAAGGACAAAGTCTACTTGATATGATTCCCATAATATTTCATTAGATGACATCTTGTTTCAGTGAACTTGAAAGTAAACAGCAGCTTGCAGTTTCAGGCTACAGCTAGCCTTGTGACTGTAAAATGTAATGATGGTGTCATATAAAACCACTGCCTGGGTCCTGCCTAGGCAAGTGGGTCAAACCAAACCTGAGTAGTGTCTGTAATAGGCTCAAGACTAGACTAACTGGAAAACTGGTTTTTGTGTTTGTTTGTTTGTTTTGGTAGAAAGCTGACCAGATGAGGGCAAGATTACTCACTGCAAACTGCTGTGTCTGGCAGAGAAAACACACACACACACACACACACACACACACACACACACACACACACACACACACAATGTAACCAAGGACTGGAGGCAAAGTTGCAGGCTTATGGTTCAAAAAAGGAATAAAATCAGAAGCTAAGAGATTATGGATAGGTTGAAAAATAAGAGCAAAGATAGGTTACTACTGTGACTATGAAAGGAGGAGTTGAAAGTTAATGTCTATGTGACATTGTTTTTGTTATGTTATATGATCCTGACAGTGTGAGAACAGATGAGATGACTGTACCAAAGTTCAGAGAATTAAAAACACATCCCTGTTTATTGTTTTATTGGGACATTTGTCTTGCCTAAACAGATTTTACTGAAAATCTATATCTGAAAAACTATTAATCTGATGCTGTTCATTATTTATTTTCAATAACCAATTTCAGCCACGCCTCTGGAATCTGTCTATTATGGGAACATATACCTTAAGCCTGTTACAGATCCAACTTTTAGATGTATAGTATTTAAGAGGAACCAAGATATGAACACAGTGAATGCAATAACCATCACTACTTCCTCCATGATCTGACCATTGAAAGCCTACATTTCAAAGCCACATTAGCAGTCAGTCCTGGCCAAGACCTGCCTGACCTGCTCACATTAGCTCTAGTTCCATTGTTTCACTATAATATGCAAAACAGAAAACATGTAAATTGTGCAGGGCCACTTGGAATATCTCACTACTGACACAGCACCCACTGCCACGACCTTCTGTTGCACAGTGAGAGTAGGGAAGGGTCAGCCAAGATTATAACAAGGAACCAGCAGGAAGAGAAATCTGAACTGTTACTTCATTTCTTTTTATTGATGTAACTTGTCAATTTTCTTCCCTGACATACAGAAAAACAATGTTTTCACCTAAGTTTTTAAGTCATTTATTCAACAAACTTTCTTTTGAGTCCCTTATAAAATGTCAGGACTGTGTTAAGTTCGATATACAATTCTGAGCAAAAGAGGCGACTTATACATAACTTATTTATGTATATTATTTAACAAAATATACAACTTATATATAATTTATTCATATAAATTAAAAGTTAGTGAGACATTATGTGAGGGATAAACAAGGATCAGTAATAGAAAGTGATGATGTGGGGGACGGAGAAGGATTTAGAGACTAAGGCAAGCAAATAAAAGGGACCATTTTGAGTAAGAAGTCACCATTCGGCTTAGCCCCCTCCTGTCCACTGAATGCTCCTCCATCCTAGTCCTTTTCAGATTATGACTGTGTCTTAGAGAACTTGACAGGGCAAGATTCATGAGAAGGAGATACGTGTATGTCCTTTGTCTTATATATTTCAAGTTGCTGCTCTTACTGCTGTGTGTTTTTTTTTTAATCCCTTAACATGGCCGAAGAGAGAGATTTCTTAAACTGTTATTTCTAGCAATAGACACTGTCGACTTAACAATAAATATTATATAGAACATCTGGAAGGATCTAAGTCATAGTCACTATGACAACAAGGGCTTTATGGAGACAAGAAGTAGGGAGGATGCTGTATGAAGCCGTATTCAGGCATAGTGTATAAAAGGCAGTAGTTTTGTTGGGAGTACACAACTTCGACAGGCAGAGAAAACAGACTTAGCCGCTTCATTGATCCATGGATGCACTGGAAGGGTGAAATCTGTCTGTGCCGGCTTGTCCGGGGATCTTAGCCCCTGTAACGAATCTCTCTCTTCATGTCTCTCGAACCAAAGGCCACATCTCACATCTCAAAATTGATGTTTATGTGACATTTTCATATTAGGGCCTATAGCCCAAATTACCCCCCGAGTCACTATGAGATTTCTAAAGAGTTGTATGTCCCTCTTTGAAAAAAAAAATAAAATTAGGGAATTGGGGGAGGTGAACAGAAAAGTTGCTGTCCTTTTGTTCTTCAGTCTAGTTGTGGAGGACGTCGCTTCACTGGCCCTTGTTGGTTTTATCATTGTGCTCTTCCCAGGTGAGGCAGACTGGTCGCCAGCCTCTGGATGGCTGCTCACAGTGGCTCTTGGCAGCTCACACCGGCTGCTGGCTGCTCACCGTAGCTTACGGCAGCCCCACTGCAGCAGGGTCTGCAGCCTATGCCATCGCCAGCGAGTCATAGCAGCCCAGCTCCAGGTTGAGCTGTTGTTCACCATCTTAGCTGTAGAGGGCGCAGTGTCACTGACCCTCATGTGGGATCTGAACCCAGGCCCTGCTGCTCAGAGCTGGTGCCCCAAGCCAGCTCTTAACCAACGCTCCACTCAGCCGGCCCTTGTATGTCCCTCTTCATTTTAGCACCTGAGGATCTCTCTGTCATTTGTATTCAGCTTTATAGTATTATTATTTTTAACTTATCAGCATTTAAAAATATTTTTAGAAGTCAGAGCTGAGGATTAGATGGGAGGGAGAGATGGTTGTCCACATTCGTACAGCCTGCTGTGTGATGTGAACCAAAAATAAACTGGTCTGAAAACCTTGAACTTTCTTTTCTTCATAGTAAAATCATAATAATAATGCCAGTTTCACAGATGTTTGAAAGAGGAAAATGATTTCTTGTGTGTGAAAGGGCTTGGAATATTGTGATCCTATGCTAATATAAGAAAGTATTAATATTATCACTTACAATCACAGCAAATTAACTCCTACTTCTTAACAAGGCTCAGAGGAAATAATAGTTTTAGCAGAAATAAACTTATTTTTCCCAGTAAGTTGGGAAATTGAGTGGGAGCATAGGCTAATCTGAGAAACACAGGGGCTTACATTGCTCAGGGAGTAATTTGTAATAAAAGAGGTAGATACTAATAGAAAGGTGGCACGTTTCTAAGGACATTTTCTACTTCAGAGTAATCCCAGAGAATAATTTCCTCCTCCACAAACCTTCATGATTGAAATTATGCCAATTCAAGGAAAAAAAAGTAAGACATATCTCTGAATTTTAGTGTTCAAAATATATCATGAAACACATTAACTCCTAAAAACAGACTAAGTGTACATTAAACAGTGTGCCATAATGCAATTTATGTTAGGCAATTATATTTGAAAACTAATATGTCTTTATGTGGGGCCTGAGTGTACACTAGGAGGAACAGGAGAATCTAATCAGATAAATGATAACCAGAACCACATGTAAGAATGGTGATCTCTCTTTTTTCCTAGGAATCACAACTGAAAGCAATGAAAGAGACTGTGAAACTCTGCCTGTCAACTGTTTTCAGCGATCAACCGTCCCCATTGAGTCTAATCAGGTCAAATCCAACTCAGATGTCAATTCCACCCAGGACAATTGACACGAAGGTTCCAGACGCAAGAATGAAAAGCAAGGTACACTTCATTTGTGCTTTTAAAAGTAAAATCAAGGAATATACTGTCTTTATAATTCATTCTATACGATCATCAGTGTGGATCCAAGTATGATAGCAAAGTGATTAAAAGATTAGGAAGTGAATGGAAGATAGTAACCCAATTTGTGAAGTATCCAGTGTCACTTGGAAAATGTTCTCTAGTAGAAAGCAAGCTGATTCTTAGACAGGATCATCTAGTTGTAAAATGATAATAACTATCACTACTGTAGTTATAATAATTTATTCTAAAATAACATTCTAATTTTTTTTCTAAAATAATAATGCTAATTATTCTATAATTAGTTAAAAGAAAATATCCTGTATTACATTACAGTATACACCAGAGTTTAATATGGTAAATATTTTCTCTTAGGGCATAACCATCACCCTTACAAAAGTAGATACAATTTTTAAAAATTAAGTCCATAGTTCTCGACACTGCCTGCAAGTTAGACTCATTTGGGATACTTGTAAAAGAAAATCCTGACACTCGGGACTCAACCTATTAAATCAAATTCCTTCTGTTTGGGCTCCAGTCATTAGGATGTTTTAAAAGTTCCCCAGGAGATTTTGAGACCAACTGACAAGGAAATCTTCCTCCAAGCCTCCCCCACCACCTTATGTCACTGCCTTCAGACTGGGCACAGGGCATTTTAATGCTGCTTTTGTTTCAGTCTTCAGGGCCTTCAATTTGCAGGCTCTACATTTAAATAAATCCTGACAATCTGAAGTAGTTATCGGAGAGAAGAGTTTAGTTTCAGGCAGCATATATTTATTGGAAAGTGCTGGCTCTCTTACCACTTGCCTGAGGATCTCTCCCCGTTAAAATGAGTGTTATAGATACCAGCGCCACTTCTAATGCAAATCTCTAGGGGTGGGCCCAGAAAAACCTGAGAACAGCCCATGCCATTACCGGATAATGCCTTACAATGGGGCCTGTGTCTCAATGCTTATTTCTGTGGTTACATATCTGTTAATTAAAGAGAATGTGGAGAACTGTATTAGGGAAATACTACTTTTAAGATGGACACTCAAAAATAAGTGACACAAAGTAAATATTCTAATGTTCAGTTTTTATCCGTAACTTTGTCTATTTATGGACCGCATTGTCTGCATAGTCTCAGAGGGTTCTGTCAAAAATCATTTAAAAATATGTATTTTCATTTAATCCCCTTATTCTCTTTGGTTTTATTATGTACTGAAGGACCTCAAAAAACATAGGCCAGCGTTTTTCCCCTTTATTTTTTCCTGCCCCTTTGAAAGTTCTAAGTCTAAAGTGTTTGTTTACTTAACCAAACTGAAGGAAAAGTTGTGTAACAGTGCAGTTTTTATGTTTAGGGGAAATCCTGGGTTAAGTTATTGAATCTGGTCATTGAATAAATGCACAAGTACTCACACAGCCTCATCCACCTACCAGGAGACAATTACTGCCCCTACATATTGTTACTCTAAGGAACAAAGGTTCAGCCGTATTATGTCTGATGACTTTGGACAAATCAGCTTTGTAATTTTATGGGCACATTACACTTGTCTCCAACTCAACATATGTTTCTTTAAGCCCATTATTAAAAGTAGGCTCTTTATGACCCTGAATGTGTAGTGGAAAGTACAGATTGTCACTTTAACTGATTTACTATCAATAAATGTATGTCCCCTCATTGAAATAAATACTGGGTTGTCGGAAAAGTCATGATGTATTTTTTTCTGTTTTTTGTTGCAAAAACGCGTCATGACTTTTTCAACAGCCCAATAATAAATATTTATTAGTTCTCTTGGTTTATCACAGAAAAAGATAGAAAGTATTTAGATGAGCCTAGTTTGGGCATTGCTCATTTTTCAAAATATAATAACAGAAAAATCCAGCTGTTTAAGATAAAGTTCAATAAATCTATGTTAATGTACTGTGGAACATTCTACTTCATAAATTAGCATTAAAAGCTTCTCTGGTGTTTATATTTTACCCATATTCTTTATCTTTTCAATAGTGGTGGAAATTCTATTTTATATATACTTGTGGCTTATCTCTATGAAGGCACCTCATTGATAATATTTTTAAAATCCTGAATAAAATAATATAATGTCCTATGGGGTGTGTATAAGAGAAACAAACTCTCCAGTCATGGAATAATTTTTCTCTACATACAAAACAGTAACTTTTAAATGAGGGCATTGAACTGGTAGGTCTTTAGAGTTGGCTAATTCTATCCTCAGTAACATGATGTGTCTGTCTAAGAGCTGTGAGGCAATCACACCACTTAACCTCTCTGCCTCAGTTTCCTCAGTGCCTATCTCATGTGTTATTGTGACTTGAGCATTACAAATAATAATTCTTATTTTCTGTGATATACGGTGTCACCTACTTTCATTTTGCTTTTTAATCTTCAACTTTTCTTTGAAACAGTAAGGGTATTTGAATGTTTTTTTCCTGAAATCTGTGAAACGCATCCAAGTAAACAATTTTCAATCCATTTCTGGAGAAAGACAAGGTAGCCTCTACAAAACTTTTATTTTTATTTTCTCTCTCAGAAGATTGGGTAATGCAAATATTTATTGCATTATGTGTATATATGTATATATAAATTATATATATATATATATATATATATATATATATATATATATATATTCTCTGGATTTTAAAAACCACAGATTTCATCAGATGCAGAGTTCAATATCATAAGAATTTACTGGTAAAAATTTTAAAAATAATTTAGATATTGGCAACCCCTGCCTCTTCTTCTTCTTCTTCTTTTTTTTTAAATTATGGCGCATGCCTGTTACAGCCCCATCTAGTCCTATAGCTTAAATTTCTGCTGAGGACCCTCAGTCAAGTCTGTCAGCCTCCTTTCCTTCATTGCATTCTCCATAGTTGTTCCTGCTTCTCTCTGATTCAAGTGAACTTTTTCTTACCCTCCGAGTTAGAATTATGTGTTCTATTCTCAGTGCTTTAGCACAGTGTTTATTTCTCATGTGTCTTGGTCATACCTTGAATACAGTGATAGCTCCATATTCCTCTCTCCTTTAATCTACATTATTGTGTTCAGAGCTATGTTTCTAGAGAAATCATTTGAAATGATACTTACTGTTCTGTTTTCATCAGCTCAGGCTGCTCTAACAAATGCCGTAGACTAGAGGACTTAAACAACAGACAGTCATTTCTCACAGTTCATAAAGGAGGGTTTGAAGCCCAAGATCAAGGCGCTGCCCATTTCAGTTCTTGATGAGGGTCCTTTTCCTGGATAACAGACAGCTGCCTTCTAGCTGTGTGTTCACGTGGTCTTCTCTATGTGCCTGTGCATGGAGATCTCACTCTTTTATAAGGACACTTTTTCTTCTTTACAAGGGCACTAATAGGACTGTGAGAGTCCTGCCCTCATGACTCAATCTAAACTTAATTTCCTTCAGAAGGCCCCATCTCCTAATACCATCACGTTGGGGTTAAAGCTTCAACACATGAATTTTGGAGACACAGACATTCAATCCACAGCAGTGTTCCTCTTCTGGTTGGACATTTTCCTCATTTAGAAGTTACAAAATATTACTACTGAGTGTTCATTAAGTACTTAGTATTGAACTAAATTGTTTTTCTTCTGTACACCAGAACTGTGCTCATCACTGGGGGTGCAAATTTGAAATGACACAACTCTGACCCTTTGGAGATTGTGGCCTGATTCTCTGTAAATAAAAAACATGAAAAAACAAAACAAAAAATGCAAGCGTTGTGCAGCAGATCAAGGCATTTTTGTTGTTGTTGTTGTTGTTGTAGTATTTGGAGTTTCATATTCCAAATAGCTTCTATTAAAATAAAGGCTAAGGAGATACTTATATCCAAATGCACACAAGATGATGTGTTTGTTATATCTAGGTTATGATAATGTGTATTTATTATGAAGGAAAGATTGTTCTAACAAAGAGGTGAAGAGCAAAGGTATGAGCCAGGAGATCTGATTTGCATTTTATGTAAAACGACTGACTAGAGCAGAAACAAGCAAACGGGTGACAAGCTATTTCATCAATCCATGCCCAAGATGATGGTGGCCTGATTTATGGTGCAGAAATGGAAACAGGGTTCCAGATGCAATCGAGGCATAGAGCCTCAATTAATGGCCTAATGATTAAGTGGGATACATAAAGAGAAGAAATAAAGAAAAACACTCAGTGCTTGCATTCATTTATTGTGATGGGAAAAGCAAGAGGAGCTTTGAAGGGAGATCTCACCTTGGTTTGTTTTTCAGCACGCTGAGTGTTAGACATCTATTATAAAATCAAGTGTCTGTTTACAGCGGGCATTTATATATTTGAATCTGGAACTCAGGGAAGACATCTGATTGGATGTAAAGGATTTGTAATCAACACCATGGATGGCAATTAAATGTTGGAAATAGATTAAATGACCTGATGAGACTGTGTAGAGTGAAAAGTGCTGAGGGTCATAAAAGACACCAGACAAGAGGAATAACTTGGGTATGGTTTTTAGTCTAATAGATGGAATGTTTATGGCAAAAGTGCACCCCTTCCTCTTATTTTTTGTTGAGATACTCTTCATTATATATTTGAGCTGAGAACCATTACTTTTATGTGCCTGTTTTGCCAGTACAAAAAACAAGATGTGTGTGGCACTGTGTATATTTAGAATGGTGACCACTCCAGGGGTCTGCTGGCCATGGCTCATACCTGCTTGTAAAAGCTGACTATTACATTTTCAGAATTTGTAATAGTCAGCTCTTAAATACAGCCATGATTAAATATAAATTATATACACTTAATATTAAGTAAATTATACTAAAAGCAAATGTAATTACAAAAACTACTACATTTTGCTATTATCTCTGCTCTTGAAGATATTATCTCTTTTGGGTCCATATAGTAAAATAGAATATAATGCTCTGCTACTGATATCTCTTTCCAACTTCATGTTCAGTGATATCATGTTAGTAGATTGAAATTGGTAGAATTTATTCCATAGAAATTGGGAAACAC